TTTTATCGGTCACTTATCTAAAGAGGATGTTGTGACTGGTTTTAAAAGAAAAGTTAGCAATTAGGCTTCTTTGAAATGGGCTGGTGGGTACGATGCAGGACAGGGCAAATTCCTCCGAGCGGGGGAGATCAAGCCCCGTACCCAGAGAAAAGAGGGTTCTTGGCAGAGTGTAAGAAAGCACTCAGACACACACCGAAGTCAGAGTCAAAAGGAAAGTTTATTATGGAAGGGGTAACACTTTGTAGGCAGAGTGGTCTAGGCAGAGAGCGATAGAGCCTAAGAGAGACTCTGAGGGAGAGGGAGAGAAAAGAGTTAAAGGCACTGGAGGGACCCCGAGTGTTTGGGGAATTCTGTTTATATATCATTCTTTAGTTACAATTTAAAGACTTTGTTTATCCATTTTCCTTTAATATGAACATACAGTGAGAAAGGATAAGAGTACCTATGGTGAAAAGGTAAGAATATGTAGCATGAAAGGCCTGCTGGCCAGTTCCCAGCCTTTATTTAATCCATAGATTCCCTATGGTTTTAGCTATAGGGAATGAATGATTTCATTTTGTGTAGGTGCCACTTAAAGACTGCTTTTCCTGTTTTCCCTTCAGGGTGTGGGGAAATGATTTGTTAGTGATCCCAGCAGAAATCCTCCTTTGTTCTGCAGATGTCCTCCTGTGGTCTGGCTGCAGGGCTGATTGGCACTTTGCAGTCTATAAATGGAGCTTGATTTAACATTTTATTTTTCTTGCCTCCTCCCTCCATTAAGTAGACCAGCTGAGCTCTGATTCCTTTGTGACTCAGAGAGATCTGGAGGGATCAAGATGGCAAAGTCTGTCTTTGGCACTCCCCTCCTTTCTCGCAGTAAGCCTGGGGCTGCCCCCCCTCCCCCACTGCACCCTCTCCCAGAAAGCCTTGCTCTCCATGCTCTAAACTCATCTCTCTGAGGTGTTAGTTTACTTCATTGACTTATAAATTAGACCTGGAGCAGTCTTAGAAGGCCTCTGGTGTGAGAGAGGGAAGTTCTGAGAGGGGTGCCTCATTCCCCCAGTGCCTCTCCACTTGTCATCCGGGGAGTGGAGGGGTCTGGATGATAGCCAAAGATTGGACCAGTAATGGAGATCTCTTAGCTTTCTGGACCCAAAGAAACAATTTCGAATGATAATAATTTCAGACATTAGTGGACAACTACTGTCTAGGCTTTCGATCCTCGGTGGTGGTGATGGTGGTGGTGGTGGTGGTGTGTGTGTGTGTGTTTTGTTTTACTTTAAAAAATTTTTTTTTCTGGCATTCAAACAATTGGGGGAAATGTTTTCAAGGAAAAGAGTTATGAAGTCTTCCAAACTGGGCTGGAACTTCGCTTGGGCATTGCATCTCTGACAGCAGTATAGACAGTCATGATGTCATGGGAAATGCAGCCACAATCTCAACCTTTCTGAAAGAGGATAATGCTGAGGGGAGCAGAACTGGCACTCCATAACCTCATGAAAAGTCAGATGGTATCTGTGCCAGTGATTGCTTAATAAAATAAGTACACGAAGGGGGCAAGGTGTGGAGAATAGTCATTACGCCAGGTGGTATTTAAACAGATGGGAAACGGTTGATCAGTGGGGCTGAGATGCTCACTTACGCAGCACTTGTTAGGAGTGTATCCCTCTTTTCTTCCCATTTTCCTCTCCCTATTTCTTCTACCTACAATTCCTACCTGATTTACTTTTTTTGGGGGTGGGAGGGGTGGTCCCAGAAAGGCCATCCTGCCAATCTCAGTGATGTGAAGATAAGGCTGAGAATTGTTGGTTCAACCTTCAACGCCCTCAAGATTAAAGTTCAAAGCCTCTTTTGTGGTAAACACCTAGGTAAGTCCTGCCTACCTTCCTAGTTTTAGCCCTAGCCACTCTCCTTCACATACTCTGGGTTCCCAGCATAGTGTTCCCCAAACACATCACACTTTCATACTGTTATTTTTCTTGAGAGTCTGTTCCTACACCCTTACTCCTGGAATAACAGAGACTGGTTAGCTGTCCCCCTAACCCTTCTTCTCCCTTCTTTTGCAGTGAGCTGTGGCCCTATGACTGAATTCTGGTCAATGGAATACAGAAATGATTGTGTACCACTTTCAGGCCAGGGCTATGGGAATATTATATGCACATCCTATTCTCTCTTACTTCCACAGTGACCTTGGAAGTCATGAGTTGAAGATGTCAGAATCCCAAGATGGGAGAAGCCCAGCTAATTTATCCTCACTTGGAGGAGAGTTGCCCACCAAACACAGCCTTGGTTTTGGGCTTTAAGTGAGTAAGAAATAAACATTTGTTTCAATGAACCACTAAAATTTGGATATTTATCTGTTATGGCAGCTAGCCTTATGTTAAATAACATACCTGGTAAACTATTCATCCTCCAAGGTCCTCTTCAGATCATCTTTTTAAGAAGCCATTTCTGACTCCACTAGGCAGGAGTCATTCTTTCTCTGTGTGTCCACAGCCCTTTATAGATGCATCACTTACTGACCCTCAATTCCCCTGCCCAATGCTTGCCTTATTTACACATCTCTCTTTACATTTGGCCATCAACTCAATGGAGGCAGAGATGTTGATCTTTGCAATTTTAGATTCTAGCAGAATGAGTGAACGATAGTAGGTATACGATATATAAAAATTCACTCATTTACAAGTGTTTGTTGAGCTCATTCTACGTGCTAGATACTTTTCTAGAATTGGGAATATAGCAGTGAACAAAACAGATTTAAAAATCCCTTAGAGATAAGAGTGTTAAGAGTTGCTGACTTTAGGTGGCTTATTTTATAAATCCTTTTGAGAATGCCACAAACTAAAAAACAAAACATAAACCAACCAACCAACCTTCTGCTCTCATGGAGCTTACATTGTGAAGGGGGAACTAGATAATAAATAAATACATGTAATACATGTAGAACTTCAATACTGGTGATATACGCCGTAGAGGACAATAAAGCTTGGAGGGAAGATAGGGAGTATAGGGTGGGAGTATAATTTTAAATAAGGTGTTCTTAGAAGGCCCCATTAAGAGGATAGCATTTTAGCAAATATCTGAAGGAAATGAGGACTGAAGTTATGTAGGTATTTAAGGGAAAATAATTCCAGGCAAAAGACAGCAAGGGCAAAGGAATGGCAAGAGGGTGTATGCATAGCTGGAGCAGAATGAGTGAGGGGAGTAGAGATGAAGTCAAGGAGGGTGTGTGCATGTGTGCGTGCATGTTCCTGTGTGTATGAGGGAGGAGTACAGGCTTTGGTTTGAACTCAGACGGAAGTGGGGAGCTACTTCAGTATCTTAAGTAAGGAAGTAATCTGATGCACATTTTAACAGGTTCACTCTGACCATTATGTTGAGAGAAGACTGTGTAAGGGTTATGGGCAAAATGAGCAAGACAAGTTACAAGGCTATTGTAATAATCTAGGCAAAAGAAAATAATTTGGATCTGGGTGATATTAGGGATATATTTTCAAGGTAGGATGTGCTGATGAATCAGTGTAAAATATAATGGTGGTCAAGGATGACTCCAAGATTTTTGATTTGAGCAACTGGAAGAATAGAGTTGCAATTTGATATAAGAAGACTATGAGAGGGGTGGTGTGGATCAGAAATTTAGTGTTGGACTTATGCTTGATATGCTTATAGTCACATTCAAGTGAGGATGTTGAGTAGCTAGATGGATGTTATATGCCTAGAATGGAGAAATCTGGGCTAGAAATACAGATTTGCGAGTTGTCAGCATATAGAACTCACTTGAAATACAGCAGTGAGAGATTTCTAAGAGATGGACTACTGACAGGCAGCCACTAAGAACTGTCTGATTCATTGGACAGCTTTCCCTGGCCATTCTTATCTGTGGGTGTGTTAGGAGTAGTCCATTCCTGTTATTCAGGGAGCAATTACTCTACTCTCACGGTGTGTTCAAGGCCATTTGCTTCTCTTTTCAACTATTCTTCCCTCCTCTTGTGAACTCCTCTTGTCAGGGCAGAGGGATGAGGTAGAATGCTAACCATCCACTTAGGGAACTTTGGGGAAATGTTTTGTTGGGGATATGGTTAAACAACTGGCTAACATGACATTGTATATACTTTTGCCTGCCTGAATTATCTGGAACCTACACTTGTTCTATTAATTGGCCCCATGGTGCGTTTAATAACACAGGACTTGGGGAGCCTTTATGGATGTAAGCTCCATCCTAAAAATTCACCGACCTAATGGTTGTTCAAAAAATTATTGATGGTCACTGGCACCTGACTCACCAAATTTTGGCCCAGCCAGCCTTTTCAGATTGAAAACTCACCCCTCAGCAGAAGTGCCTACTCCACTGGGAAGCCTCTACCAATTACTGAGAGTAAGTGCGGTGAGCTCGAGTCTTGGCTTCTTGCCATTTAGTAAGAGGAGGCGATGGATGACATTGGCTCCTTAGGAGTAATAAAAGGTTAAAGGTAGTTCTAGGCGTTGCCGAGGCCTGGAGGAACCCTGGTTCCTAGCTTTCCTATCATTTGCATTCCAATAAGGCTACTTCCCTGGGCCAGCCCTGCCCGCCGGCTGCTCCTGCTGTCTCAGGAACTGCGGCTCGCCCACCTGGAGCCCAGAGGGCGGGGGGGAGGGTAGCGTGCGGCCAGGTGGTGGGGGGCGGGGCCCAGGGCGCCAGATGACCGAAGGGGCGGGACCTTGCTGCGGGTTCTGGCCCCAGGGCGTGGCCTCGCGCAGGTGCGTTGAGAGGCTCAGATTTCACTGAAACTTATCCGGCTCTTGGGAGGTGCGCGTAGAGTCTCCAATTAGGAGTAGGTGAAAAGGTGGCTTTTTCTCCAATTCGCGAGTGGAGCCCTGACTTTCGTTCGGATCAGTGGTGGTGAATTCCCCGCCTGCCCGGCGTCGGGGCTGCTGGAAGGATGCGAAGCCCGAGCGCGGCGTGGCTGCTGGGGGGCGCCATCCTCCTGGCGGCCTCAGTCTCTGGTAATCGCACCATCCAAGGTTAGAAACTTGGCGGAGGAGGGCTCGTGTCGCTAAGGAGCGGGGGTCCCGGGCGCCGCGGGCAGGTGGTGGAAGCAGGGCAGGTGCACGAACGGTGTTCTGCTTGTCGCCAACCACCTCCTCTACATTCCCGCAGCCACCTCTCGGTGGCTTTGATGGTGGACCCTGCTCCTGGGGAGAAACTGAACGGGACAACCTAGAAAGGCTGAAGTCGGCGGAGAGGAAGAGAGAACCGAGTGTTCGAGTCTAAAGGGTAGCCAGAGAGCTCATCCTTCCCTCCCACGGGTTGGCTTCTTTGCAAACACTGAGTCATTAAGGAGCTTTTCGCACACCCTGGCTACCTCCTCCGGCTTGGTCCTATGGGACCCCTGAGTTAGCGAGTTGATGGCTCGAGGTGTGGTGGAGTGGGCGGGAGCCTGCGGCCTGGAACCTTCTACCTTGCTTTTTGCAACCCCTTCAGCCTTTGGAGCTCCCCCTTTGGGATCGGCCCACGGCGTTCAAGACCCAGGGGCCCGCAGCTCCTCTGGCGTGGTGGATGGCCCAGGTATGGAAGTAAGGGCCGAACCTCTCTGGGTTCTCAGAGTAATCAGTGCTCAGGTTCAAGTTTTAGGCCAGTTGGGTATGACGCAGATTTACGAATGGAAGTTCTTGAACCCTGCCTTATATTTGACCAGGTGACTTTAGGGCCCTGGGTTTTCCAGGCCCTTCCATGCCATACCAAGCTTACTCTGGCTGCCACTCAGGTCTGAGGCAGCCAGAACGAAGCCGACTGGGCTGGTGTTCTGGTGCCGGGTCCCGCGGGTGTGCTGCCCTGGGTGTGCTCCCACTTGTTCTGCTGGGAGCGGAATCTCCCCGGCTGTGCAGGCGTCTGAGGGCGTGGAAGGTGCTTTGGCCAGAGAATGCGCTTCTGTGATGCTAACAGACGGCCCGCTCTTTGGGCCACCGGGGTAGCCTTCAAAGGGAGGTTTTTATTTCCTTGCGAAATTTGCGGAACTGCTGTAAAACACCGTTTTTCGCTTTTATCCTTTTCGTAAAGACCTTGTAAAAGAGCAAATCACTGTGAATTTGAATTAGAATGAAGACTGTGATTCTTTTCCCTTGACTTACAGAAAAGGGTATTACGGTGTACACTTGAAAACCGAACCACCATATACACTTTATTGTCAGCATTTGTTTATTTCCAGGAAGTATTGAAAACGAACACTTCTCCATTTATCTTTGTATTTTAAAGTTAGAAAGTTAAAATTCAGGAGCAAAACTTAGAATGTGCAAACATTTTTGAAAAATATGTGGGTGTAGGTGATTCAGTGCTTTTACATTCAGACAGTTCCTGTAGGAAGCTTGCCCTGAGTACTGGTTTGTGCTTGTTTACAGAGTGACTGGGCTGGGGCTGGGGCTGGGGCTG